ATGACGCGCGCACTTTACGATCGATTTAGTCGATGCCTGATGATCGACACGGATGCGCACATTTTACGGTCGATGTGGCCGATGCCCAATGATCGACACAGACTCACGCGCTTTACGATGGATGTGGCCGATGCCCGATGACAACACTCACGCACGCACTTTACAATCGATTTAGTCGATGCCTGATGATCGACACGGATGCACGCATTTTACGATCGATGTGGCCGATGCCCCCGATGACCAACACTTACGCACGCACTTTACGATCGTTTTAGACGATGCCTGATGATCGACACGGATGCACATATTTTACGATCGATGTGGCCGATGCCCAATGATCGACACAGACTCCTGCGCTTTACGATGGATGTGACCGATGCCCGATGATCAACACTTACCCACGAACTTAACGATCAACGTAGTCGATGCCTGATAATCAACACGGATGCACGCATTGTACAAATCAATGTAGCCAACGCCAATAATCAATTGTGACACTGGCGATTCACAAAAGATGCAGCCGATGCCTGATGATCGACACGGATGCACGTATTTAATGATCCATTTGGCCGATGACCAATGATCAATTCTGATGCTCGCGCTTCGCAATCGATGTCTGATGATCGACACAGACTTAGGCGCTTTAGCATCCATGTGACCGATGCCCGATGATCAACACTTACACACGCACATTACGATCGACGTAGTCGATGACTGATGATCGACACGGATTCACGAATTGTACAATCAATGTGGCCGATGCCCAATAATCGATTTTGATGCTTGCGCTTCACGATAGATGCAGCCGATGCCTGACGATTGATACAGACTCACGCGATTTACGATCAATGTGACCCATGCCCGATGATCTACACTTTACGATCGATGTAGCTGATGCCCAATGATCGATTCTGAAGCTCGTGCTTTGCAATCGATGCGGCCGATGCCTGGCGATTGACACAGACTTACGCGCTTTATGATCGATGTGGCCGATGCCCGATGACCAACACTTGCGAACGCACTTTACGATTGATGTATTCGATGCCTGAAGATCGACACGGATGCACGCATTTTATGATAGATGTGGCCGATGCCCAAACATCGATTCTGACGCTCGCGTGTCACGATCAATTTGGCCGACGCCTAATGATCAATATTTATGCATGTAATTTACAACCGATGTAGTTGATATCTGATGATCAAAACAATGCACGCAGATGATGTAGATGCAACATGCTTTACAATCGATGTGGCCGATGTCCATTGATCAGCCATAACATATCCATAGCATATCATACCAGAACACATTGTATCACAATATATCATGATACAACACACTGTAAGACATTATAACCCAACCTAACACATTATAACACATCATATTGTTACACTACATATGACAAAATAATACAAAAACTTGCAACACAACAGAACAAAAAATAACAAGACTATGCTGTTATAATGTGTTAGTTTATATTGGGATTTGTTATAAGTGTTGTGATATGTTATAATATGTCATGTTATGTTGTTATACTGTGCTATGTTATAATGTATGATAATTTTTTTCTGTTATGATGTGTAATGAGTTTTGTAGTGACATGTATTACAATGGTTTATGTTCTGTTTTATGTGTTGTTTTATGTTACGATGTGTCAAAATGTGATCTGTTATATCATTTTTTGTTAAGATCTGTCCTGTTATATTATCTTGTGTTATGTTATGTTGTGTTGCAATCTGTTGTCTTATGTTATGTGGTCATAATCTGTGGTGGTACATTATGATGTTCTATAATGTGTTGGGTTTAGTTATGATGTCTTATAGTGCATTGTATCATGTTATGTTGTGTAACAATGTGCTCTTTTTTTATATTTTTTAGTATAATTTGTTGTGTTGTTCTATGTTATGTTACAATGTTTAGTGTTATATCATGAAGTGTGGTGTTATGTTATGTTGTGTTACAATGTGTGAAGTTATGTTATGTTGTGTTATAATGTGTGGTGTTATGTTATGATGTGTTGTGTTATTATTTTTGTTGTAATGTTTTGTGTCATAATGGGATGTATTAAAATGTATGGTGTAAGAAGTTGTATTACAAAGTCTTGTGTGTTTATGTAGTGTTATGTGTTGTATTTATGTTTTTATTTATTATTATTTATGTGTTTATGTGTTGTATTTATGTTGTGTTGTATTTGTATTTTTGTTGTAATATTTTGTGTCATAATGTGATGTATTAAAATGTATTGTGTTGTAATAATAATAATAATGTAATAATTGGCCACATAATAAATTCAACTGTGTTGATCATCAGGCATCAGTCGCATCTATCATAAAGCGCGTGCGTCAGTGTTGACCATTGGGCATTCACCAAATCGATCGTGAAGCGCGTGCATCTGTGTCGATCGTCAAGCATTGACTACATCGATCATAAAGTGCATGCATAAGTGTTGATCATTGGGCATTAGCTACATCGTTCATAAAGCGCCAGTGTCTGTGTCGATCATTAGGCATCGGCCGCATCGATTGCAAAGCGCGAGCATTAGAATTAATCATTGGGCATCGACCACATTGATCGTAAAATACAAGCATCCGTGTCGGTCATCAAGCATCGTCCACATCGGTCGTAAAGTGCGTGCGTAACTGCTGATCATTAGGCATCAATCAGAAAGCGCGAGTGTCGGAATCGATCATTGGGCATCGGCCACATTGGTCATAAAATGCGTGCATCCATGTCGATCATCAACCGTTGACTACATCGGTCGTAAAGTACGTGCATAAATGTTGATCATTAGGCATCGGCTGCATCAATCACGAAGCGCGAGCGTCAGAATCGGTCACTGGACATCAGCCACATTGATCGTAAAATGTGTGCCTCAGTGTTGATCATCAGGTATCGGCCATCTTGGTCGCAAAGCGCAAGCATCAGAATGGATCATCGGGCATCTGCCACATTGATCGTAAAGCGCGGGCGTCTCTGTCAATCATTGAGCATCAGCCGAATCAATCGCGCAAGAGCGTGCGTCATTTGTCAGTCATCGGGCATCGGCTGAATCGATTGTCAGCGCTCGCATCTGTGTTGATCATCAGTCAGAGTTGCATTTTCGCTTTTTCAGCAAGCATACTGGCAACTTTCTTCCTTTGCGTACTGACCATAGGCAATAAATTTTGACGTCCTTCCCGTCCGTTCGCTACAAACATTGGCGTCCACCGTCCGTTTAGATCAGTGGTTCCCAAAATGGGCGGTAGGGGGGCGGCAGTCTGAAGTCAAAGTCAGAATTTGAACGTTTGTTTGACGATTTGTACACTATATGTGCAGCACATGACTCCCTGCGATGGCTTTTCCAAACAGATCTGCGTTTTTGAACCTCTTCTGTTCTTACATCTTGGATAAGTTTATGGCTGAACTCGCAGCCGGTCTCACGGCCAATTTCTAAATTGAATGATCATGGAATATCTCTCAAACTAATGAACGTAACTTGATGAAACTTGGTACACGTATTCATTAGGACCTAACGATGATGTTTAGCTTGCTTTCATTTGTGAGTTATTTGTCAATACGGGCCAAATTTCACAGTGATCAAGGAATTTCTTTCAAACTACGGAACATATTTGAACAGAACTTAGTATATAAATTACCTAACCTTAGTATATAAATACCTAACCTCAGCAATGGTGATGTTTAGCTCCTTACAATTTTTTTATTTTGCCTTTGTTTGCAAGTTATATGGCTAACCGTAAATGGCTCTTGGCTAAACCGGCTGGTAGAAAAGCCAGTCGTCTCTCCGTATATCTGTATAACTTGCAAATGAAGGTATAATAGAAAAAATTGTCACAAGCTAAACATCACCGTTGGGAGGTTAGGTATTTATATACAAAGTTTCTTTCAAATCTGTTAAGTAGTTTAGAAAAATTTTATTAATCGCCACAAATTTAAGCAACAAATTGCCCAGCAATACGGGCTGAATAAAGAAGTGTGAAATCACGAATGATGGTGAACTGAAAAGAACTTGCAAACAAAGGCAAAATAAATGAAAAGTTATGAGCTAAAAATAATCGTGTGGTAGTTAGGAATGTATATTCGAAATTTCATTAAATCTGTTCAGCAGTTTGGAAGAAATTCTTTGATCACTGCAAATTTTGGCCTGTATCACCTAATAACTCACAAATGAAGGTGAAATTTAAAAAATTTTTACGTGCTAAATATCATTGTTGGGGTCTGATGAATAGGTACATGTTCCAAGTTTCATCGAGCTGCGTTCATTAGTTTGAGAGCTATTCCTTGATAATTGAATTTCTTGATATAATGAAAACAGCTGAAAAACATATTGGTGTACTAAATGGGGCTCTATTTGTGAAATACACCTTTCTCTTTTAAAGTGAAATACTCCTTTCTGAAAGGAGATAGGGTGAAATACACCTTTCTCTGTTTAACTTTTCTCTTTTAAAATTGCAGCATACTAAATACCAAGAAAGAGGCGTTTGTTTTTATGTGTCTGTGGTTTGGGTGCTAGAAATTCACTAGCAAGCCAAAGGGGGCGCCAGCCTGAAGAAGTTTGGGAGCCTCTGGTTTACATGGTGCCTTGGAGTCTTTTTGACAAAATAACAGCGTCCTCAACCTATGTTGTGCTATATTCTACAGACTGGCCTGCCAACCCCTTTATTGTAATTATTGAGCCTCTACCTAGTGAATGTCCTATTACCAACTTTCTTGCAAATGACTTAGCTCTTAGCAAAGCTCTAGCCAATGCCCATGACATATTTTGGAACCATGGGGGATGAAAGGAATCCACAAAAATTTCAGTAAAAATCTCTTGATAGTAATGATGGATAGCCAAGATTCACAATGTGTAATATTATGTTGTTACTGTAGGTTAACTTATGCTACTGTGTAGCCCAACCTTCATGGTTTTCTCCATCATTAATCATATTCATTCAGTGCTCAGTCCAACTGAATTTAAATATATTTATTTTCATTTTTTTCAGAGTAGATGACTAAAATACAAGTTGCAAACTTGAATTATCACTTTTAAGTTTTTCTACTCAGTATCTCAGCCTGGGCACTCAGTTGCACTGGTGAGTGGCATAGAAATTATATCATTTATTCATTGATAATTCAGGTTAAGTTTTGTCCTTGCTATTTTGCTAATTTCATTCATGTTAACTTCTTGTGTGTTACTTTCTTTGTGTTCATCTCTGACTGATATGGTTCAGTTTGAAGAAGTTAATTTATTATATTGAATTATGGTTATAGTTAATTCCAGTAAGTTCATGTTCTCCATTCATCTTGCAGTGTTCCTTTATTTATCTGTCCACTTGTGATTCTTTTCAATTCAATCCTCGTTTGAGTACTCATTAGTTTTAAAAATAAATTCACAATATGGAGATGAGCTGCTAATAATTAGTCTTGCTGAGTTTAATGGTTCTTGCTTCGTTTACATCCTACATCCTATCAGTCATTCATGATTTGCATTTTTATTCTGTTCTTTCTGGTTGCAGTTACATCTGCTCATCTCCACCTGTCCATGCTAATTACATCCAATTAACTGGCACATTTTCACTACACTTTCCTAATTAATTAAATCATTACATTTGCAATTTTATCAAGTTATATGTTCATTTACTGTCCCATATATTTTAAGTCATTATTTATTAGAACCAGTCTTTCATTTTCCTTCATTCAGAATAGGGTTGTTGCTATCTAGTTAAATAAGCAGATAACAGGTTCATCTCACCTGCGGTATGAAACATTTTAGACCCGGCAACAATGTGTTATTAAAGTTCTCTCTACGAGTCAAATTGGATCTTGGAAGAGCAAATGCCAACTCTCACTTAATCACACTGTGTGTGCAGGAGTGATAGGAATCATTATCATTGTTTGATACATGAAAAACATTATTTTTGATCACACACTACTATTATTATGGAATGACTTGAAACTTTATCATTTTAAATTAAACATTTGCTTCCAATTTCTCATATTCAAAGAAAATGAATAACTACCTCGGATCAACAGGAGCATGAAATAAATAGGTTCACTAATAGCACAACAACATTTAATTTGGGATGAACTAAGAAATATAGGGAAAATGATCATAGTTCACTGAAGAGTTCAAAATCATTTTCAATTGCTTTATGGCCTCAGAAACTGTACATAATTTGACTTATGAGTGCTTCTAGCATTTGTGAAGTTATGCATATCTTTGTTGACGTATGTTTTGAAGATACCATCTTTTAGACTTACGCATACTTAGCAGACTTATGCATTACTTGAGTTGCTACAAACACTTAGCAATGTTTTGAAAGTATGGCCCCATATTTATAGCCAAGAATTACTTGTTAAGATGTATTCGAAAGCAAATTTATTTGTTTTCAAGATTTTATTTAGGGATTTGTGCATTATCTAAGTAATTTCTTAGTTCCTAAACTTCGTACAGTGTACCAAATTGGATAATTATGGGAGAAGCTTCATGTGTATAAGCAATAAGATTTCAAATTAGAGTAAACCAGTATGTGACTTTAGATAAAATGTTTGCCTTTTCTAATCCATGTTTAAAGGAGAGTTGTGAGCCCAATTCTGTTTACTCTGAATATCTTGCACCACCTAAACTTGCATTATACCTTACAGAAACATTCTAGAGCTCCAAGACTCCAGCAGAGATGAAGGAGTTACCCGCATTGCAGGAATCTTCTGATGCAGTCAAGTTAGGTGCAGGTCTAACCCGCATTGCAGGAGTCTTCTGATGCAGTCAAGTTAGGTGCAGGTCTCGAGCTGTGTCATCATACAGCTGAAGACTGCAGGCAGATGGAGCATTCCTTGCCAAGTTGTGTCATGGGTAATTAGCTCATTGTAATGTTTTGATTTATGTAATATTTTGTCATCATATATATGTACATTGCAGTTATAGCAAAATTGAAGTTTGCTCTGTTGCCATATGATGAAAATCAATTTTTATATTTGTTTGTACACTTGTAATTTCATCAAGAATCTGGTTTGATTTTATTACTTGTATTATTAGATCAAATATATATGTACAAGAAGTGTCTCTGGCAGGGAACTCTGAGCTCTCCAACTTTTGACATTAAGTTGGAAAATTTATTTGCTGCACAGTACATATTTTGGCTCAAACAAGTATACAGTAAATAAAGGATTTGTCATCATTACTTTGATTTTAGAACTAAGCAAAGTAAATAAGTCCATTTTAGGTTAAGTTGTATGGTTTGAATAAGATTTATGTAAATTATATTAGATCTAGAATTGATGTCTGGCATTCTCAAATTTGATGTTAAGGTAGCCAGTGCTTAGGTAGCCAGTGCTGAGGTAGCCAGTGCTGAGTATTTTGACCATATCTCAGGTAGCCAGTGCTGAGTATTTTGACCATATATGATAAGGTCAGTAACTAATGACAATTTTGAAGTATGTTCCTCAATAATTGAATCAGTACTCAAGTTGTGGCACTTGCAGAAGCTGTGAAGATTGAGCCTCATGATGAGCAGCAATCAAACTGTGACTCGGGGCTCCCAGCTGGCTTCCTTGAAGTGGAGAAAGAGGAACCTTTCTTCATGGAAGAAGTTAGTGATTTTCCTTTGAAGAATGTTTTTTTGTTATTATTCTATGAAATTAATCAATAATCCAAATCCCAATAATAGCCTAATAAAGTTCAGCAAAATTCTAAGTTACACTTGAAGGAAGATATGGGCACCTGCTTTGTTAGCATTATTTCCAAGATGCATTATAGTTTCTTCTATCCAAGATGTCAGAGCCTTCCTTTTATTATGAAGCTGAGCATAGTTTTGTATTTTCAGTGTAGAATTTATGACATATTACTCATGCAGATTTTCTTTTATAATAAATAAACTTATATGGTGTTAGGTATCTATATATCATTATTTAACATCAGATAAATTTTTTATTTCCCAGTAACCATTTGCTTGCATAATATAGGTTTATCAAATGTTATTAGGTATGATTGTGTTTTACAATACAGTCTTGATTCAGTTTAAATTTTGCATAGATCTCAATCTAGGTTCCAAAATGCTTCAGTTTATCAAACGCTAAAGACTGGAGGTCTTTAGAATGGAGTAATTAGTATTAAAATGATCATTTTAATATTTACAGCCATGAAAGTGGCCTAAATTGGCATGTCAGTTGTGAAACTTGGTAAATTCATCTGATTAGCCTCCGAGTTGCTGAACCAAGTTCTCACAAATATTATACTAAATTTTAGTACTTCAACATTCAGACTAAATTCATTTAGTAACATTTCTTCCATCTGAGCAGGACAGTGCTACAGTTGCTGACTTCAAACCGTTCCAAATTCCATTCCTGGGCTTGGATTCTCTCAAGGCAGAGCCTGTCGAGGCTGGGGCATCTCCATCCATCCCCCAGGCTCCTCCACAAGTGTCATGTCTGTGGCGCAGCTTTCTGCTCTAAATGCGATCTTGACCGACATATCAACGCAGTTCATCTTAAATTGAGGCCCTACAAGTGCTCTAAGTGCGATTATGCCTCCAGTCAGGTTTCCCATTTACAAACCCATTTAAACACCGTGCATGCAAAGTTGAAGCAATTTAAGTGCCCAGTTTGTTGCATGAATTTTTCCTCTCCTGCGTTGCTACAGCGTCACGTCTCTAATGCCCATTCTGCTGCTACCAAGTTTCAATTGAATAATCATTTCGCTGGCGCCCAATTAATAGTGAAACCTTACAAGTGTTCTGACTGTAGCTATGCTGCTACTGCCAAGAACAATCACATAAAAGCTGTACGTCTGAAATTAAAACCACATAAATGCGCTCTTTGTGCTTATGCTGCCACAAATAAAACACATCTTCGTGATCACATTGCAGGTGTCCATCAGAAACTCAGGCGCTACAAATGTCATGAATGTGCCTACGCTGCCGCCGTGAAGAGTAACCTTGCGCTCCATATGAAAGCCGTTCACTTGAAACTAAAGCCATTCAAGTGCGATGAGTGTGACGGCTACTTTTCTCTGAAAAATAATCTAAAAGCTCACATTTCCAGGGTGCACCTCAAACACAGACCGCACGCGTGCCCGCACTGTTCCTATTCCGTTGACTCGAAAGCAGAACTATCAAGGCATGTCGCTAGTGTTCACTTGAAGCTGAGGCCTCACGCGTGTCCTCAATGTGACTTCACTAGCAGCACTACAGGAAAACTTAAGTCTCATGTTAATGCTGTTCATTTAAAATTACGACCGCACAAGTGCCAGACGTGCAAGCGCGGGTTCTACCAGAAAGCTCAACTAGAACGGCACATAAAATCGGTGCACATGAATTTGAGGGAACACAAATGTTTGCAGTGTGATTACGCTACAAATTCTCGCGGGGCATTCAAGAGACATGTTGATGTGGTGCATCTGAAAATTAAGAAATACAAGTGCGATGAGTGCGACAGCTACTTTTCTATCAAATGTAATCTAACAGCTCACATTTCCAAGGTGCACCACAAAGATGGTTTGTGAGTAAAGCGCCGCTGACAAGTCTGGGTTTTAAGGCATGTTGCGCGCGAACATTGAGAATCAATTGGCTTCACATGTATATAATTTTAGTATAATTTTTGCTGGAAAATATATCTTTCATACTCCGTTTATAAAATCTGCTATTTGTGGGAATCAACTATATATTGATAATCTGCTGACTTGCTGGTATTCTGACTATATTGACTTGCTGGTATTCTGCATGGAGCAGCTGACAGGGGAGGGGAGGTGGCTATAGGTTGTTGTGGATCTTGTAAAGCATGGTAAGCCTAGCACGCCTTCTTCTGTCTCGCAACGTTGGCCATGCCAGGTCACGGAGCTCGTTGTACACACTGGAAGCCCGGAGCAAATAATACGAGACTCACCGCGCTGCTCTACGCTGTACTTTTTCAATAAGGCCCATCATCTTCTGTAGTCGGGGTCAAGATAATGGACCTGGAGCCCAGCGCGCTTGTGTTCCTTCTACCTCAAATTGCTAGATTTGCTTCTTGACCCATTTTGTGTTTATTTTCAAATATATGTGATGCATTTATTATGCAACCCTTTACATTGGTTGTAGCGAAAGACTTTTTGTCC